TCACTTCACATAGTAAGGCAAATCAAGAACATAGAGAAGAAAGTACGCCCACACGACCCCCGAAATCCCGCCAAAGAAAAACCCACCCGTGAATTTAGCCCATCCATCGGCCGTCTGTAGCTGATCGGGCTCCTTTTTCCGGCCGGTCAAAGTCAAAGACGGGGCAGTCGAGGGCTCACCTTCCTTAAACGACGCTATCCCGTAAATCGTGAGGCAGATGCTGAGGATCACGACAAGGCCAGCTGCTGCAAGTGACCCAGCCCCACCCGCATACTCTGTGTTCCTCAGTGGGCCTGTCTTCACGAACGGGCCCACGAGGAGAAACCCGTGGGCCAGCCCAACCTCGACGCCCCTGAGGAGGGGGTTGACAGCTGTCCGGTAAGCTGGGAGATTGGAGAGGTACCAAGCGATGAGTGGGCTGGATGTGACGGGCGTCTCTAAGCTCCCAATGAATGGGTCGCCGTTAATGGGCTGGATCACTTGGTAAGTGGGCTGCACATCAAGAAAAAGGTGCAATCTTGGATTGATTATCATAGTTTCTCCACATATCAGGTAAAAAAATGGTGCAAGCAATAAAGATTCAAACTTTCACATGCTTTGATCAAATTTGATATAAAAGTTGAAGACGTTACATGTTTCTACATATATCAGAACAAGATTATGCATATTTTAAGCTTAACAGTGAATATGTCGGCGTTTTTTCAAATTCAACATATTTCCTCCAAAAGCAGACTAGTAAAATGGGCACTCAAGACTAAAATTATCTTAAACTTGAGAAATCATCATTATCCAAGCTCAAAATTCATGGAATGTTTCGTACCTTCTCGGACTGGATAGCCTTGACGGTTAAAGAGGAGGTTCTTCGGTTAGGCAAAACTCTGAATGGAGTACCGGAAATGCCCTTGGGAGTAATCAGGGCTCTGCTCAGTGAAGGAGCGAAATTGCTCTTCAGCTGGCTGGTAATGGTGGAAGCTGCACTCGCCATTTTTGTTTTGGAATGTGCAGTGGTACAAAGATAGGTGGGGGTTACAAATGAAGTATATCAAACAATGTATGATCAATAAAATGTGTTTTTTTGAGATCTTTTTGGCTGATAAATTTGTGGTTCAGGGCTGTGATGTTATTTGCAGGCATGATTTCCATTGGATGGCGTGTGTTCATAACCTTATCCCTTTATCCACATTGAAGAGAAAATGAGTGACATGGGGATGGGGAAATGTGGATATTTGCAATTTCATCTATTTTCTTATTTCCTTTTATTTATTTCATATTTAGCTGACATGGGATTTTTATTGTGCACTATGCTATGTCAATTGTGGAAAATGTTGTAATTCTAGGTCATTAGGCATTGCGTGGGTTGGTAATTCATTTGCTATATATTATTACTAGCATTTGGTCCTATGTACATGTACACATATAAATAAAATTTTGTATATTATACGTATATGTATGTAATATTTAAATCATAAGTTAGATAATAACATCAACTTACATATTAATCTTTATATTGATTGCAGTTATATAATTTTTGCAATTTTTTTTATTATGAACTAGTACGAATCCCGTGCGATGCACGGACAAACGAATTCATTAATATTTATAAATTAAAAAATTCTCATTAAGTAATATTATAAATTACAAACATGAAATCAATATGTAATACAACATACCTATATTAGTTTATTGAAAATATTATAGAAAAAATTAAATGGTGCAAAACTACATAAAAATGTCTATGTAAAATTAGTACACAACCCCCGTGTAGTTTGATACTTGTATCCCAGGCACTCAGAGTTGCATGCAATCAAACTTAAACAGACTTTAAAGTAGATTCAAACAATTTGCGGAAGCAATATAACTAAAAGTTGAACCTTCAGGAGAGCGTCCCACTCTCCCTTCGGATCTCTTTCATTAATGCAAACATCCCAAATATTCTTCAAGGGTTTACAATATAGACTCCCTTTACACTCTACTTGAACAATGATCTGCACTACTACTACTTATCCGACCACAAATCCCTTGTGATTTTTCTTGTTTGAATCCCTCAAACTGAACAGATTGAACCTCCGTTCACTGGGTATTTCCTTCACAATAACATCTCTCACTTACAATCTCTTTGCTCAATATCAAATACAAATCACTCTCAAAAGAATAAAAAAAAAGTACTCCTCAATGCATCTCTCGTCGTCCTTTGATCCTCATCCTCATATGGTAAGTTCTTCATCAAACTTCGCTGCCAAGCCATGTCGTCTTTTGGAAGGTCCAGGTTGCACGATCGAATCTCGCTCAAATGGTAAGTGAGCGCGCATGGAAGGTAGTCGTGTGTGGAAGGTGATTCCCAATTCCCTTTCATTACCTGCCATAATAAAACACGTTTAAGTATTAACCAAGTAACTTAAAGCATGCCCAAATAATAAAGTCAACTTCCCTTAAATATTCTTGCGTTTGTCTGAAACTGTGAGCTTAAGAAGGTTCATCGATTTACTGCCAATGTTCAGAACTTACACCGTGCGTAGCACATAACTGATAATAAATTACATTATATTCGTTTCAAAATATGCGTCATTTCAAAAATTTTATTCAGAAATTCAATTTGACTACAACGTGATTCCATAAAATAATTAATTTGGTAAACTTTATCATATATTTAAAAAGCTATGTGAATAATAAGTATAAATGTGAAACTTATATTGTTTTATTAAATAATATGAATTTATTTTTGTATAAATATCCAAATCAAAATATTTAAGTAGTTTAGTAAAAACAATCAGTCATAAGGTTTTTTATGCCAAAAAAATCAACACTCCTTATCATGCTAAAAAAATGAACAGTGCATTTCACACAAAAATTATTTGAAATGTCGTAACAAAAAATAAATTAAATCGAGACCCACTAATAATACCTAAAAAAAAATGACCAGAGCTTTTTCTATAAAAAGAAACATCACGCACATTATATCAAAATATCCGTTCATATTATTTTGTTGAAGTTACGGTAATTTTCTTATGTTAATTTCAAACTAATCTTAATAATAACAAACTTGCCTAATGAGTTTCAACAAAAAAAATAATATAAATAACTAGTTTGAAAAATAAATAAATTATAATACCATTTAATGTGACTTTATGATTTGTTAGTGGTAGTTGTTGTATAATAAAATAAATAAAAAATATAAATAATTAATTAATGCAAAATAACGTCTTTTGGAGGGAAATGTTTTGAGAAAGACACTTAATGAAAGAAATAAGAATACATAGCCGTTAAATCAGATGATCTAATGGATAAGAAAAAGTCAAAATTATACCTTCATTAAGGACAATTTGGACATTTCATAAGAAAATCCACATTATTAAACACAGCATTTGCCAGGGTGGCTTATTTATTAAATCCGTTTTTCAATTTTTTTTAAATGAGTTTTTAAGTTTTTTTTAAATAAATAAATAAAAAATAAAAACGGATTATAAAAAATAAAAAAAATTAAAAACAAATAAAAGATATTTTCAATTGAAGTCAAATTAGTACAATCTCGATCAGTTATAGTGTAATTGAACTCGAATTTGACTTCAATTGAAGTCGAATTAGTACAATCTCGGTCAATTATAGTGTAATCGACCTCGAATTAGTCCAATTGAAGTCAAACTAGTACAATCTCGGTCAATTATAGTGTAACCGAACTTGAATTAGTCCAATTGAAGTCGAATTAGTACAATATCGGTCAATTATAGTGTAATCGAACTCGAATTAGTCCAATTGAAGTCAAATTAGTCCAATTGAAGTTAAATTCGAGTTTGATTACACTATAATTGATCGAGATTGTATTAATTCGACTTCAGCTTGACTAATTCGAGGTCGATTACACTGTAATTGACCAAGATTGTACTAATTTGACTTCAATTAGACTAATTCGACTTCAATTTGACTAATTCGAGGTCGATTACACTATAATTGACCGAGATTGTACTAATTTGACTTCAATTATGTTGTAAATTGGGATCCTCAAACATTCATCAATCCACACCCAACAAAATAAAGAGAAACGAGCGAGAGAACAAGAGACAGAAGAGCAGAAAAGTATGTAATTTTATTCATCGTATATCACCCTTTTATAGGGTTTATAAGTGAGAAGCCATAAAACCTAATTTCCCTAACTAATGGACTTCAAGCCCAATTATCGATTAGTAATGTCCATATACATATATTTATAACACTCCCCCTTGGACATTACTACATCATGTTCATGTCTCGTTAAAAACCTCGCTACAAAACCCAATGGGAAAAAAATAGTCGACGAAAAGAGTACATGACATATGCATATTTATGTGTTACACTTGCTGCCTCATTAAAAACCTTACTATGTAAAACCCAATGGGAAAAAACATAGCTAAGGGAAAAAGAGTACAGCACCGGCCAACAGGACCTAATCTTCAAGATTACAATTAGCCTTCCGGGCTCGATCTTAAGGATTTATTTATCGCTCCCCATGAAGGCAAGAGCATTTCAAGTTACATTTATAAATGTTTGTTGCTCCCCCTCAAGGTAAGAGTATCTAGATAAAATCGTCATTGGTTGCTCTTCCGAAGTTAATATGGATTCAAAAATATAATCCAATGTATTTCCATAATTTATTTGTGTAACACAAACTGAGTTATCTTCAAGATAAATATGGGGAAATTTAAATAACCAATGGTAAAGAGTTAATACCATTTAAGAGGTCTATAACCAATCGATGACCCAGTACTTCGGGGATCAATTATACAGTTTATGCTTTATCCACCAATATCATATATCAAGTCCAAAGATAACTCAACATACATGAAAGCATAATGGGATATTCTCAGTTTATCACGATCTCTTTAAGAAGAGAAATAGTAAATGTTGCTAGCAAATTCATCACAAATGCAGTATCAGGCCTGATACAGTTTGCGTGATAAAAGTTAAGCACAATTGCGCTTAGTAAATAAACTTCAGGTCGTTTGTGGACTTCAAGTCCATCGGAACTTCAGGACCTATAATATCCTCATTTGTTTCTTTGGATCTTTGTCAAATTCCAAGTATTTGACACTCATTGGTGTTATAATTTTACATCACTAAAAGAGATTCAAGTAGATTGGTTGGGTAAAAATACTCCTTCTAGGAGATGCTCGATCTACAAGTCGAGATAATACTCTTTGGTATTTAACCAAGAGTTTCATTCTAACTCCGTCTATAAGCATGAGCTGACTTATTTAATCTTTTACATAGTGTTCACCACTTAATCTATTTGACCGAGATGATCATTTTGTATATTACCAGTAATATACACAAGGCTCTACCTTGAATTTCTTACTTTACTTCTTCAGGAAGAATTTAGTTGGTTGTACCACATCTTACCAACAACTTCAAATAAATAAACTATTTATTATTTAATTATCGTTCATCTCGGGTACTCGAGCCCATCCAAGACTTTTCACATATGACTCGATAGTCATGTTAATGATGCTGCCATAAATATTAACTTGCGGAATCATTGCTAATGAGAGAACTTATAAATATTTGGGTCTCTGCATAAACCCATGAGCATAATCTCGCTATATTTACATAATACCACCACATCACATGTTTCATATAAATATTCATTATCCTTCTGGGATATGCTATCCTCCTGGGATATATCGTGTAGCGAGTGAAAGCTCTGCCTCAATTTTTCTTTCTATCTCAATCAACTTAAGCGCTTCTAGCACTTCTATTCTTTTGATCCGGATCATTATTTGAGACAGTTAAGAAATCACATAGGCAAGTATGTTGTCGACAACTGATATTCAATTTATATTTTTCTCTCCACCATTTGATAGCCATATTTATAATCATTTCCCGTAAAATCTAATTTTGGCCGTTCCGCATTTCCAGCACTATAATGGTTTGATGCACGTGCAAGATGTACTGGATCAACTCTTCAGGAGTTTATTATAAAGGAGTGTTAATTCTTGAATATATATTTTCCGCGGACTTTCATACATCATATTAATTATATCACCTTATGCTTCAAGCATTAAGGAGTCAATCATTCCTTAGGGAATTTGCGTACTTTGTGGTACATCTATATATTTACAAATAGGTCACTTCCATTATAACTATAGATTTCGCTTGGCAGAAGTATAATATGAACTTCAAGTTCAATTTTTATTGCGTGGTCTGAAATAATGAAAACATTAATATTTCACATATTTCGCGACATTAATAAATCATGCTCATATCTCCCCCTAATGCCGTGAAATCATCTTCATATATTATGCAAAAAACGTACTAAGTAATAAACTGATC